TGTGTAAATAATCATTATGTGACATTCTTTAGGGAATAATGACAAGAAAAAGAAGTGGTGGTGCCTCTTCAGGACACATGCGATTTTTTTCAAATGTTTTACATCTGAGATTGGCTGAATCTAGGGATCCAAAACTCCTGGACACAGTCGGACAACCATATAACCTCAACCTCCCTCTCCCTCTCTCTCTCTCTCTCTCTCTCTCTCTCTTACACACACACACACACACACACACACACACACACACACCCCACAGAGGGCCAATCTATTGGCCACCTTTACTTCCTCTTAAAGAAGAACCCTATTGGAACTGGAGATGTAGCTTAGTGGAAGGGTGCTTGCCCAGCATTCCCCAGGCACTGGATTCAAACCCCAGCAGGAGGGGCGAGGTGGGGGGTATGGGGGATATGATATCACATGACTCCCAGTACCCTGGGTGGGGTGCCCCAAGGGCCCTCAACAATACATCTGCAAGATCMAGGACAGCTGCTGCCATCTCCCTGCCAACCCAACAGGAACCCATGTCCAGCCTCCCTGGCCTGCACCAGCTGGACATCCTCCACTGCCCAGAAGGAAGAGGTCTGGTCTGGCAGCTCTCGGGCCTGGCCCCACACCGGGCCCTCTTCACCAATGACTGACCCAGAGCCCTGCCACAGAGCTTCTAACCTCACTTATCCAAGGTGGGGCCTCCGGGTTGAGGCTTTCTTAAGTTCTCCAGGCTTCCTGGTATAAATCCCCATTCCCAGACTCATAACCTAGGGAACTACTGAACCTTTCTAGCCTTACTTTATAGCCTATTTTATAGGATGATTCTAAGGATTAAATAAAATAATCCATCTAAAATGCACAATGCCAGGCCCCTAGAAGACCATGAATGTTAGGTAGGGTTACCATTGCTGACGTCATCMTGCCACAGTGTGTCCCTGAACACATCGTTTAACAAGGAAAGGCCCTGAATTTGTGTAACTCAAACACTATGTGGCCAGACTCATTCTGTGCCCTCGCCCTTGCAGGAGCAATGGTGCCCCGGYTCTATCACCAGCCAGAAGTCAGTTGGGGGCAGGGGGACATTAGGTGGAACCCGCTTCTGATTTTTATTTTCTTCTTCATTTTTTTCCAGTGTAAATAACAACAGAGACGCTGTCAGGAGTGGGCCACTGCCACCCAATTTCATCATCACTCCAGCCTGCCTGGGGTGTCCAGTCACCATTTTCATTAAAAGTAAACAGAGAAAGCTTAAGAGATTTACCCAGAGTCATAAGGCCAGCCAGCAGGGGTGCCTCTGGCTCCACCTCCAGAGCTCTTCCCTGCCACCATGGTGTCAGCTTTCAAGACCTCTGCCTCAGTCCTCTGTGCCTCTTCTATCCTCTGAACCCTACGCACCACCCAGTGCCTCCATGACATGCCAGCCTGTCATTCTTCTCAGGGGTGCAGAGGCTTCTCAGGGGTGCAGAGGCTCAGTGGCATAGTCTAACATCAGAGTGACTGGTGAGTGATCACAGTCCTGTTCTGGGGGTACTAAAATGGAAGGAGGGGGGAAAGGCACCCACAGCACTAGATGACTTTGGCTTGACTGTTTTGCTGAAACAGGACCTAGGAAGGGACAGTGTCTCCTGCAACCTCCTTGGCCTCAGGCGCCATTAGGTAGGACACTGTTTCAGGGACGATGGTGAGATGCACTCGTTCATTGCACCTTGCGTGGAATCACAGCCATGCCACACCTGGCTATGTGATCTTCGTTTCTTAGCTTCTTTGGGCTAAGATGGGACCATACCCTTCTCATCAGGAAATTGTGGGGTGTGATGTGAGAATGCCTGAATGTGATCACCTGGTGCCTGACGCATGCTAAGAGCTCAGTGAGCTGATTTTAGCCTTGTTAACTATTATCCATATTTCAAATTTTATTTTAAAACCACAGTGCAGCCCAGGAGGGTGGCACACACCTGTATTCCAAGGTACTTGGGAAGATGAGAAAGGAAGGTGGAAAGTTCAAGTTTAGCCTCACCAACTTAAAGAGATGTGATCAAAAGTAAAGGATGGGGTGCTGGGGATGTAGCTCAGTGATAGAGCACTTGCCTAGCATGTGCAAATCTCCAGTTCTCCAGGACAGGAAGAATAAGAAGAAGAAAAAAAAAACACACAGGCAAGGACTCTAGATTATTTATTTTCAAAAATATATTCTATTTTAAGGGCTGGGGATATAGCTCAGTTGGTAGGGTGCTTGCCTCGAATGCACAAGACCCTGGGTTCAATCCCCAGCACAAAACACACACACAMAAAAAAAAAGTAAAAATATATTCTAATTTAGCCAGGAGCAATAGTACATGACTGTAATCTCAGCAGCTCAGGAGGCTAAAACAAGAGGATTGCAAGTTCAATGCAAGCCTCAGCAACTTAGCAAGGCCCTAAGCAACTTAGCAATACCCCAGCTCAGAATTTTAAAGTAATAATAATAATAATAATAATAGGGCTGTGGATGTAACTCAGTGTTTAAATGTCCCTGGGTTCAATTCCCAGTACAAAATCATCATCATCATCATCATCATCATCCCAGCCTGGTATCTCCCCCCAAAAAAATTAATCCTGAATTAACTACAGTGGTGTCCGAAGGCTAGATTCTGCTGTTGCTACTGCCCAGCAATACTAACTTCCACTGTAATGTGAATCCCTCTTTGTAATCACGGAGGACAAAACCCCTACTCCCAAGAAGTTTAGATTTTCCGAGAGAAGAGTAAGAACTCTAGAAATAAACACTATATAAGCAAGCAGATGAAAAATGGGCCAGGCATGGGGATACATTCCTGTAATCCAGTGGTTCAGGAGGCTGAAACAGGAGAATCACAAGTTCAAAGCCAGCCTCAGCAACTTAGTGAGACTCTATCTCAAAATAAAATTTAAAAAAGGGCTGGGAATGTGGCTCAGTGGTTAAGTGCCGCTGGGTTCAATCCTCACTACCAAAGAAAAAGAAAAACGAAGAAAACAATCTACCTCCCTTTGCAAGTAAGGAAAATGAGACTCTGAGAAGCAAAAAGACCTGCCTGAGGACACACAGCTAATGAAGGACAGGTCAGGGGCGGGAGCTCAGGTCTGCCTTGATGTCAATCTCAGGTTGTTTCCTCTTACATAGGAGCTCAGAGGATTCCATTTCAGGGCAAGTATAAATTCTAAAAAACTGGGGTAGTGGGTCCCTCACTGCATGGTCTAAACCTCTCAGAGTACCTCAGAATTACAGAAAATATGAAGGCCTAGGAAATGAATACAGAAGAGAAAGTGAGACGTTTTAACTCTCCCATCCACAAACACCGCAAAACACATAAACAACCCAGAAAGGACCCTCACAGGAGATAACAACACTATCCATTTTTACAGAGGGATTTACAAGACCTGAATAAATGGGGAGACACACCATATTTGAGGAATGACTGTGAGAAGACATTCATTTTTCCAACTCAGCACATGACTTGAGCCAATCCTAATCAAACTCCTAAGGGAATTCTCTTT